AACCATCGGTGGGTCGCTCATCCTCAACAGAAGGAATCCAAAGGAAAAAGGGAACGACAGAATAGCTGCGCTATGATACCACGGATTTCGTACTGCTCTCCTCGATTACTTTCTTTGGAATAGCCAAGTAGTTAGTGAGGGAGAATGGATATATCAATTCTTTTCTACAGAAGTTTCCTTTACATTTACTTGCTATCCTTCACTGGGACGGGGAGGAAGTTGTACAGGTTGAAACTAAATTGCTCTCGAAGCGGTTCACAACTGTATTGGAAAGCTGTTCTCACCACTACTTTTAGCTAAGAGACCTTAAAGGAACCTTCTCCTTTCCCACACTTGCATATTTGCACAAAGGCACGTTTTACGGGGCAACTCATACCTGAAGGGGTCAGAAACAGAAGAGCCATTCTCTACAATATGAATGCTAAGTGTTCAAAAGAAAGTTTTCTGGATACATACTCCATATTAGTGAATTGGAATCCATTTTCTGCAGGATTTAACATCACTCATTTCAGGCACTCAAATTTTATAAACCATTCCATAGAGGTAAAGAGCATCGAGTGAAGATTGTACCATTCGACGTGCGCTTCAAAGAGGTACACTATTTCTATAAATATTTTTCATTAAGTTGAAGAAATGGAGTGTTATGGTATGGCGTAGACTTATACGACTACCACCTAGTCCACCTCCATGTGACATGTGATAGGAATGACCTTCTCGCACACGAAGGTCTCGTTGTAGTCAGCAACCATTTGAAACCCTACATCATGGGATTTGAGATGGATTTTCCATGATTTTGTTCCCACAGCTAATCATAGTGGGAAATTTGCCCAAGAAGATTTGATTTCCATGACATGGATATGAGATTCTTTCAACTCAAATTCTTCACGCTTAAAAGTCAAATAGTTTTGGGCTCCATTTGAAAACTGACCACATCCGTGACTTGTGGGTTGCTACCCTGAGATTTTGTTTGGAGCTTCCCTCGCAGCGGACAGAAAATCACGAACAAGGAAACTTTCAATATGGTCAAGCTGGCTTACTTGTCGATATCTGATCCTAGAAAGTTGTGTCCTGCTGACCTTGGAGATGAAATTCGCCAAGCTTGATAGCGCTGAGGCCTTTGAGCCTCATGAAAAAGGGATGATTTGTCCGGTCGAATAAGCTAGGTTGAGCTACCTGCAAGACAATTTCCCGGAAAAGATTGCCTGAGACCCGAACTTTAAGAAGAATCCAGCTCAAATTAAATAAAGCGGTTGCAAGCGCTGAATATAGCCACAATAACTGAGCTTCAGTCTATATATGTTCCCAAAAACCAGTACCTCATTTCTGAGGAGAATTTAAGAAATGATGCGATACCTCTGTGTTGCTGGGATGCCCTGATCGACTTTGTTGATCTAATGTATTTTATTTAAATTATATACAGTTAAATAGATTTACGGTTTACAGATTTTCTCATACGAGGATCGTCATACACGTAAGGGCATGCTGTGGAGGGCATCCTCTGTCTACCAAAACACTGTATTCAACATCTCTATCACAACGCTTTGCACATCCATTATGTTACTGTAGCAGATGCCGATGGCACTGCTGACAGCTAATCAGAGACGACGGCGGTGCCATTCGCTTCTGTCATTCGTTCCCTAAGCCCACTATCATTTCAACATGAACGCATGTGCTTTAATGGGACAGATTCGCTTTTTCCTCATGTCCCTTTCCAATGGTTATGCATGAGCTTTCTCGTGATAGTGACGTGCCACGTGCTGACATATTTCAATACGGTTCATGGTATTGAACAGCTGATCGCTTCAGATCGAGAGTACCGACGATGACTGCCTACCAGATTCGGATCCTGTTCTTCCTGATGTGCCTAGCTTCTCGAATACTGAGTTGTCGGTGAGTAAAACCTCATTTTAGCGACAAATCAGCTGCTGAATAAGGTGCGCCATGAAGCAAAACAATCATGGCAGTTCTCCTTCGCTCAATTACTTTCTGGAGCGAGTAGCCCTCATTTCAGGTCCTCAGCAGAGAAGATCCGATATTCGGTCCGCAATACGTTAATGGATCCGTGTTCCGAAATGAAGTTGATTACCTTGTATTCAAGACTCGTACCGTATCATTAGAGCATTTAGTAGGTGTTTCTTTCCTTGGAAATCGGTGAGAAACCGAATCCTAAAGTTCTTCATGTGATCCTTGAAATTTCCCAGGCGAAAAAGTTGATTGAAGGCGTTCCGGATTGAGCTTTTCACTGGTATGGACCGTATTGGACTCGCCTATGCGCTACCGGCAGCGCTCCCAGATCTCTATGGAAAAGCAACTTTTCCAATTATCTCGTTGAAAAACATACCAATTGGACAGATTGACAGTAAGGGTTCTTTCGATTGGACTACGATTTCACAACACTTATCAATTATTAAAAAGTAGAAATGAAACCATTCTATTTGAAGTAAGTCTTGTATCATAAACTTCAAGAAATATGAACGAAAAACGCCAGTCGGCGCTCTCACAGTACTGCGCTGAGCGTTGGGCGCGTGCTCTGTTGACAACGTTGGTCATCGATCGATACCAACACGCGCTCACCGCTCAGCGTTGAATCCCGAAAAAGGCCAATTTTTCAAACTTTACAACTTTACTTTTCCCGAGAGTCATACTAAAACCCATTCGGCGTTCTTGGCTGCACTTTACTGCTTGAACACAAAGAAAGCTATCATAAGAAGGCCCATATTTGGCTTGAAAGCTGATTTCTCTGAGTGTTGAATAATAGAGCTACAGTTATACTGTAACTAATTCCAGGTACTACTGTCCTTCTTAATAAAAAATAGGGGAAGCTATAACGCATGTATAGAAAAACACATCCAACATATAACTTCCTCTGGTAACGTCCGTTCCGCGCGTCTGTCTAGGTCACTCCGCCCACTTCGCGCGCGGTCCAGCCCACTGGGATCTCGAGATGACATTAGCGTACCACGAAGTGTCAATGGAGCGGATGATTTGCAATAGTCCGTGCTATCTTCTCTTTGAGCTGACTGCTTTCCAATTCGATGGATCAAGTTCCAAATCGTATGCCCAGTTCACAACTGCGACATCTATCAAAGATAGAGCAACCCCCAAAAATTTTACAACATTAAGACGAAAATACGCAAGGATTTTTCTGACAACCTAATATCTATCATTTTCAACAAACGATGGCATGTAACGGTCCAGAATACTCCTCACTTCCTTATATTGAGCAGTTATGCCTCAGCGAAAGCGGCAGCCGGAAGTTGTCCTCTACCATTTCCCCCTTATGCCAATGGACATTTGTTCAGTTGTGTTTTCTAATCATTGACTTTTTCTTCGAAAAATAGATACAAGTTCTCGTGGTAATTATTAGGATCGATTTCGTTCAGTTGATTACATGCTGGTTAAAACTATGGTAATGGACCGTTCAATACGGGACAGTATGGCAGTCTCGTGGGGACGATACTGGAAAAAGCGGAACACGCTTGAGGTTGGACATCGAGGAATGGGCTGCTCATATACCAAGTATGTTTGTTCATCATTCAAAAGTTTGAAATTGCTGTCATTTTGTAGCCAATGAATGAAATATGATGACAAATGCAGAGCATAACTGAGCTACAGTAAGAGAATGATCATTACATGAGCTCATGACTGCTTCCCATTGAGTTGTACTCTTACCAAATAACTTGAGCAACGGACTTACTGCCATAAAACTATTAACACGACCACGCATAATCAATAACGTTTGTGGAACAAACAAAGTGGCTACAATGTATAGTCCGACAATTTTACGTGTTTCTTGTTAACCTGTAAATTCCTGTTTCAACTGTATGATGTATACCTTGAGTAAAGTAGGGTAACAATGTACTGTTGTCAATATATCAGAACTCCTGAATCCAAATTCGTGATGAAATGCGACCGCCTCCACATTGGGCAACCATCGCGCACCTCGTCGACCAGGGATTTTCTGCTGCGGAGATTGGGAGAAGACTCCAAATCAAAGACAGAACAACAAAAAGAATATTGGCACAACGAGAAATGAGAGCAACCTTCGCCGCTTCCGAAAAAGGGCTGCATCAGAGCTGTCAAAGTTCCGCATCCGAACACTACGACGATCCTTAGCTGAAGGAGAAAACACGAAATTATCCCTAAAAAGACCGCCAATACTAAAAACTCCATCCCATTCCTATATATAATGTATTTATAGAAACAAATTACGCTCACAGACCTTCCAGAGACTTTCGAGAACGTAATTCATGAATCATTTCAGAATGGCGGCTGCCCGTGAGAATACAATTTATTCACTTAGCGAAGCTGCAAAAAGGGGTGCCGATTATGTCGAATTCGATGTCCAGCTTACTAAGGTGGTAGAGTTTTTTTCACGGTTAATACAACCTTGATTGTCCTTCTGTAAATTTTAGGATATGCAACCGGTCATTTATCACGATTTCCACGTTCTTGTTGAAGTAGCAGGACGGAGACAGAATTTATTTCAACCGAAACCACGGCACCACCAACTAGCTATCAAGGTTTTTCGACAGTCATTGGATCTCAGTTAGACGGTCAACATGACCCATTTCAGGATCTTAGTCTTGACCAGCTCCATCTCTTACAACTTGAACATCCTGCAGAGCGACTGAATAAGACGTGGAGAGTCACGCCTTCTGAGGAAGAGATCAACGAGGAGTTTCATAATCCATTTCCTCATCTGAAGCAGGTCTTGGAGTCCGTAGCTCCCGATGTCGGGTTCAATATCGAAGTGAAGTATCCTATGAAGATGAAGGTAAATAAATCACAATTCTAAGGATAAAGTGTGTTACTAAGCCATGGTCCGAATATGAGGAAAGGCGGGGCTTCATGCCGCTATGTAAGGAGTAAAGAGAGCAAAGACCGGCGTGTACAAGTATTTTTTCAAGTCTCGTCCGAGAATGATCGTTCTGCTCATCATTCGCTATTCGCCTTTTTTGTGAGGACCCTAAAAACGCATCCGAAGCCTTATCCTTGAATCTTGCAAACCGATACCATTAGCGAAATTATCCAGAAAACCGGGCTGAGAACGCTGGACGTGCTTCAATTCCTGAAGTCAGGTTGAGCTTATTATTGAGGAGCTGTCAAATTTCTAGCAAGGCTTTCGGCTTGCCCCGAATCACCTAATCATGGCAATTTTGGGAGCTCTGGCTGCTCACACACATGAGTTTTTACGTTTAATTTTGTCCTTATTTCCAGGATGGTACACACGAATGCCCAGCATACATGGAAAGAAACGATTTCGTTGACGTCATTTTGCGTAATGTACTCGAGCATGCGGGTAGACGTCGAATCATATTCTCTAGCTTCGACCCTGACGTTTGTAGTTTGTAAGCTGTTTTTCAAAATAGTAATTTATGGTATCCATTCAAGTAGTCGCCTTTGTTGCGTTTCCAGTAACCGTCAGCTTAAAAAGACCCTGGCTTCCAGGCACCGCTACCCGCATAGTCAAGCCCTCCAAGCATCATGTGCCACATATGGCTAGATGAGTCGCTGTTATACAGGGTGGCTAAAAAGTATAGCCCGCCAATCTTACATGCTTTTGGTAATCTGTGAATCCCTGTCTCAGCTGCGTGGCATATACCTTGATAAGTAGAACGAACACGTACGTGATGTCAGTATTCAAAGGTCTTGGATCAACTGTCGTAAAGAAAACGATCGTCTCCACATCGTGCATCCACCTCGTCGACACGAGATGTTCTATACGGAGATTGCTAGAAAACGTCATATTAACGACAGATTAGCAAGAAGAGTAGGGGCTCAGTACAAGAAACAAAAACATTATCTGCCGCTTCCGAAAGTGAGCTAGCCAGAAAGTGCTACCATTCCGCGGATGAGAATGGCTGTCAAGGAAAGGATTTGTCGCAATAACGAAGTCAGTTTGAACAGAGTTGCTCGGGATTTGAATATTTTACCAACTTTTAAATAAAAGCTGGATCTGTATTGCTTTCTGCGAGGAAGACGTTAACCGCAACTGCGAAGAATATGCTTGAGAAGTGCAAAAATTCTCTCTGCCGTCCACGGAGGTCGCCTTTCGGTCATTGTATGCGGCCACGAAAAAATCCCCATTGTGAAATTGCTCCCGACAGCCGAAATCATTGGCAGGTGCTTTCTTAGGCTTTCCCCCAGAGAAAGAGGAATAAGAACTAGGAGCCTTTTTCGAAGCCAGTGATGGTTTTGGCCGGGATAACATGCGAAAGCAAAACTCTACACGTTTTTTGTGCCGGTGGCTCAAAAACACCTTATGGGGCGAAATACTAATTTGCCGCAGAACTGTCACCAGCTCATGGACGCAAACAACCATTCACTTTTGCGAGCCCCACCTCCCTGGACCCTGGGATAAGGATATGTGATCATCTAACTCTCCTGGCTTGAATTGTATGAACCATGCTATGTAGGTATGTCTACAGCAGAAGTCTCTACTCCCGCTCATCGCAATCTGGATGGATTGAAAGCAGCTCTGAGAGGGAGAGGTGGAGAAGATTGATGTCAACTACCTGCGTCCCACTGTGAAAGCCTTCACCAGGAGATTGGAAGCTTGTAATATAGTAAAAGGAGTCCATCCTGAACAATACCTTACGCGGCTGTTTCTGTTGACGATGCTTAGCGAATAGTAAAGTTTTATTATGAATCGCGTTTATTCAGTTATTAATAGGCCATTATTCACCGGACTGCACTGCGTAGCCGCCTTTTAAGGCTTTGTAACGGTCAGAAAGGTGTTCTATAGAAGGTTTGAAAGAGCTTTCTTCCAGGATAACTCTTAAGCAGCACATTTATCCTGTTATATTTTTGGTTGTCGGACCAACAACGCGGTACACACCCTTTCAGGTACTACTGCTGGCAATTTTCGTCAGATCTTTTATACTATATTATATGAGTTTATCTATAACGATTGCTTTGAAATATTGAAGGATCTCCGTTCGGATAGCTCAAAAATCGCCGTGAATTACGCGGCTGGAAACGGACTTCTAGGCGTTAATTTTCATAGTGAAGAGCTACTCCAGGTTTGTTATGATAAGACTGCTAGCCATTGATCACAGAGAGCTCCGAAAAAATTCTAGGATGCTTCCCCTCTTCAACGTGCCGATAAATTCCGCCTTGTTACATTTGTATGGGGTGACGACCTGAATATTATACAGAACCTAGAGTACTTCAAAGGACTTCAAGTTGATGGTGTCATCTACGACAGGTAATAACTTACTTATCTCGAGTGATTTATCCTACGACTTCTTGAAATGCACCCAAACCCCAAGCTGTGACTCTGGAAAGTTTTCTGAGTTTGAAAAAAGTTCTTGCGCCCATCATCTATTTTTGTTGGGCGCGCTTCGTTGCGTGAGTCTGTCGAAACAAGGTCACCTTCGCAAGCGGTGGGCAAGCCCGCGATCTTTGACAGACGTCGCAGTTGTCAGCGGGGCATACGAATTGCACTTGGTCCACGACAGTGAGCCAAAGAGAAGATACCACGGAAAATGCAAAACATTCGCTCGCCGCGCCCGAAGTGGGCGGGGTGACCTACTTTCGGCGGACGCGCGCAACGAACGTTCTTCATTTTTGTCTGCTCCTTCGCAAGCAGTACAGGCATCGACTTAGGCATTCTACGCATGACACTTGCTATCGAGCTCGTGCACTTAAGCCACTGATGGCCGAACCAACTGCAGTGAGTGAGGTCGCGGCGCGATCACCTCCCCACTCAACTGATGCAACGTCGTGCGTTATGATATTAGGTCTTCTTTTTTGAATTCTGCGCTTCGCCTTTCTGTGTCTGCTTGAAGCCACGATCGCCTACTGATACGCTGCTCATCACTAAGTTTCCCCTGCAGGATACTAAACCATGCTTATCGCTGTACTAACACACTTGACACACGACATCTGTAGCATAACCCGTCCGTCCGTCTATTCCTGTGAACGCATTTTGCCTACTGGTTGGTGGCGGAACGGTCTGGTCCAACCCACGCTTTTCATTGCTGCAGGTGCTTGCAGTAAGCGAACAGAGTTGGCATAGGCAGCAATGAGAACGGCTAGCGGTACCAGATCCATCCACAAGTTCTGCTCGACATTTGACTGTTATAAACCACTCTTTGTTAAGGATTGGTGAAGTGAGGAAACGACGGAATACCTTCGTCGTTGAAAATGAGTCCCGAACTGCCTTACCAATACGAACTCCGGAATGTGTAAGCTACTTAATTTGCACTATACTACAGCGACGGAAATCAGTTCAAAACTCACCGTTTTCATTTCAGAGTCGCTCACCGACGCCAGAACCGATCATCCACACTGGCACGCAATCAACACCAGAACCTGAGCCTATTGTCAACAGTACGATGAAGCGTTTGAGTATCTCACAAAATTCAGCCTTCAGTAAAGTAACCGACGAAGAAAGCAGTCAACCATCATGCATACATGAGCCGACGCAAAACTATTGTTCATTATGTACATAATTGGTGTAAGTGCTATACTAAATAAATATTATACCTACTAATCCCTGGTTCACTTTTTGCTGTGCACGAGTGGGAAGGGTCCGCCATCACCTTCATATTAGTGTATGGAAACTTGTCGTGGATTGCTAAGCCACGGTACGCTTCGCTCCGCGCGTCCGTCAAAACTAGGTCACGCGGGTATGGGGTACATACATGCTTCCGAGGATGCGCGCGGCGAAGTTCATGGCGATTCGAACGGCTCTGGCGCCTATTATTGGGGCACAAGCTTGAAGTGGAGTAGTTAAGTAGGGTCAGCCGATCCCACTAATCGACTCTACTTCAAATTCGGGCCCCAACGATAAGCGCTAAACCCGTTCAAATGGCCACAAACATCGCCGCGCGCATCCTCGGACGCACGTGAGTTCCGTCCCCCAGGTCACGCCGCAGCCATCGCTCGCGGCGCGTCAGCCTGCGATTTTCAATAGATGTTGCAGTCGTCAGTGGGGCATGCAATTTGCGATCTGACCACAGCAGTCAGCTTAAAGAAAAGATAAGCGGGCTAGAGCAAATTATTGTAATGTCATTTCGAGATCGCAGTAAGCTGCTCCGCGCGCGAAGTAAGTGGGGTGACCTAAAATCGACGGACTCGCGAAACGGACTCCCCTTCCACGGAAACGGTAGGTTGAGAGATGACTTATTTGGGGGGATATGAACATAGAAATAAATATTTGCTGTTCCCGCATACTAACCCGGCATAGTATTTTATCCAAGCACAGCTTGATTCTGAAGGGAACGCTAATGCATGGCAATACAAGTAAACTGATTATAGTGGATTCCGCTTTTTCGCAACTGTTAAATAAGAGCCTCCAAGTATTTCAACCCGCGTAAGATCATCAAAAACAAAATTAAGTATGCTGTGCAAAGAGCGCTCCCCTCTGTACGCAAATGCCCTATATGACACCTTTCCACTACCCTAAAATTCCATAGAATGAATTAGAATGAGATTGAAATTGAATGCACTCACCCTCTAACTTGATGGATAGATAAATTAAACTTCGAAGAAGAAGTTAAGGAGAAGCTCCGCTCTCCTCAACTCCAAACCCCGCCCACTTAATAAACAATTCATATAGAAAAATAGCGATTTTAATGGATCGCTGTT